ATGTCACATTTTCATGAAAGAATTGGCAAGCAGGAAGGGAATGCTTAACCCTTCCCATGCCAGCAAATATCTCCCAGGTTATTTTCCTATGCAGTCTTTTTCTATTTCTCCTTCTTTTTTCCCTTCTTCCGAACTTGGGTTCCAGTTGGGAGCAAAGTACAGGAAACATTTTGTGGAGCGTGGAGAACTGGTAGATAGTGGGAAAGATCAAGCATCCACTTCTCATTCAATGATAAGCCCAAAATGTAGATAGGGATCCCTGAGGGTAAGAGCTGCTTGACAGTGGAACACACTCCCTCAGAGAGTGGTGGAGTCTCCTTCTTTGGAGGTTTTTAAACAGAGGCTGGATGTCCACCTTTCTGGGATGCTTTGATTGTGAGTTCTTGCATGGCAGAGGGTTGGACTGGATGGACCTTGTAGTCTTTTCCACCTCTATGATTCTATGATCAACTTCTTCCAAATGGTGCCCAAGGATCCTGAGAAGTGTAGTTGTGTGAGGAATATGAAAGCTCCCTAATGACACCTTAACCAAAAATATCCCAGGAGACTTTTACAAACCAGTCAAACTTTCATACAACTGATAAACTTTGTAGTGTTGATCCTGATAAACCAGGAATGTGAAAAGCTATTGTCAGTCTCCACTACCACCAATGACAAACCTCAGGATTCTGTAGGATGGGGCCATATCAGTTAAAGTGGTATGAAATTGCTATAGCTGCTTAGAGCTGATATCCTCAGATATTCTCTAAACATGCTTGCTAATGACACTATTTGAGGAAACTAACAAGCATACTTTTTTCCTGGTAGGGAACAAAGGATATCCATGTCTTCCAGCTTCCTGATTTTCCAGGAACCTACATGCAACAGGTTGTTCCCTTTCATGGCTGGTGGGAGTGATGATAGAAGTTGAGTAGGGCCTGAGTAGAACTTGTAGATTAGAACTTGACTGATCAATGGCTACAGTCCTCTCCTTGTTAGCCTGAAGTAAAGCCCATTAAATTCAGTCAGGAACACACTCAGGTAGGTGAGGATAAGTTGTAGTCTAAAACATTTATATTTTATAGGGTTACTGTATTTTGAAAAGCTAAAAAGAGGACACATTTACATTTACAAAGACAGACTATTTCAAACCACCAATTGCTATGATGACTCTCTCTTTAAATACCCCTGCTATATAAGCTGTGATAATTGCTACTAGAATGATTCCTAATCTTCATTGTACTTAAATAATTTTAATTTATTATTTTGTTATTGTGTGCCTTCAAGTTGTTTCTTATGGCAGCCCTTAAATGACTCTATTTCAAGTTTTTGTAAGCAAGATTTATTCACCAGGAGATTGGCATTTTCTTCATCCGAGGTGGAGAGAATGTGATTTGCCTCAGGTTACCCAGTGGGTTTTCATGGCTGAGTAGAAACCCATCCTTCATACTACAACAACATACTGGGATATTTAATGATTCCAACAATTTTGAAAATCACCCCAGACAGAAATTTTAGTTCTGAACAAGAAAATGTGTCCAGAAAAAGGCAGATATGTGTAACCCTATATTTTCTCCTTCCAACTTACGACAGCAAACCCAACAACATAATTTCAGAATGATTCCTCATCTGTAGTCTGAAGTGGGATACATTTCACCACATCATTCTCCTGCTCATCTAGATTTGACCAGCTTTCCAACCTGAGTAGCAACCCATGAAAGTCCCACACAATGGGAGTTCATTCATTACTTTCTGAGATCACTGCCTGAGTTCATTCATTAGTGCTCCTCTTCTCATGGCAAGAGATCCAGTCATTGTGTAGCTGGCTGCAAGCATGGCAGATGTTCTTATTATCAAGAACTGTTTGCAGGGGTATCCAATGAAAAGAGTTCTTCTCATCAAAGCAGTAGAGGGGAGATTACATTACCAGAACATCTTTTAAGAAAAATACATATAACCTCATCCAAAACTGAGCTATGGTAGGATTATGCTCTGGGTCTCATTATCTTTTCATTCTTCTTCCAAAGGAATGTTGCAAACTCTGGCATTAATTAGGCATCTCTGCAACTGAGTAGGAGTGGGGAGTGCACATTTCATATATGAGGTTCTATGCTGCATCATAAATCAGAGAGGGAATGTACCCTTTCCTCTACCACACAAAGATCAATACAGAAGGTGATATACTAACTGTGGTCCATGCACATTACAGTGGTGTGAAATGGTTGCACAAAAAGCAGCAAAACTCATGTGGCTCAGTGGGTTGTAGTTAGGATCTGCCATCTGCTAGTGGAACAGTTCATGGAAGATTCTTTTCCCTGCAACCTCACAGTTCACCCCATTTATCAGGATCTCCTGTCCTAACCCTCTGGGCAGAACTTTCAGAGAAAAGTTATGCGATGGAAACGACAGGAAAATCTCATCGTAGTAGTCTAGCTACACACACCTACCGGTAAATCTGGATCCAACCAATTTTGTACATGAAGGTGGGCCTGTGGACAAGTGAACATCTGGAAAGCTTAGCTGCTAATATCCCTGAAGTTTATAAAATGCCTTGCAGATTTCACCCCCTCCAAGGTAAATTGAGCAAATGCAGAACAAAAATGTCAAAGCACGCTTGCTTTTGAAAAGCATACAAAAACATTAACTTCTTGAGGAAAGAACTGTATTTTCACCAACATCTTAATGTGAGTTTCATTAAATTTAATTTTCTACACCACAACTGGTGTAGTCTGATATCTGGGATGAATTTTCTACTTTGGGAAAAATCCTATAGCAGTGTTTGAAAGATCCAGGTGAAAGAAAGGTATATCAGCTTAGGCAAGATGGTAAGAAGGTTAGTGAGTGTTAACCAAACTATAGACAGAAGATAATTATGAAAAGAAGCTCCTAAAAATGCATGCCTTTGCTAATTCACAGGCTAACCAGCTATCTCACATTTTAATTAGTTTTCCCCCCCAAAATCCTTTGTTAAATGTCATTGTTTGATCATGCTCACTTCGTGGTTTCCCATCATCCTATTATTCACCCATTATTCAGTGGTAAGAATGTATACTGTTGTATTCCATTCATGTCATCCATATATTTATGGTAGCTCTTCAGAAAATTAACTGGTGGTAACACCTTGGCACACTGCCAACCTAAAGTCACAGGGAGATGCATCTTCTTTCCAGAAGAAGGAGCTGAACTGGAACTATGAAAAACCTATGTGGTCTTCCAGATAGTTAAAAGACAGGTATAATTCCTTTAAGGAAGTAGATGTGTTCCTGGGCATTACTTCTTTAACACAGCAGAAATAACATGGTACCACAAGCAGAAATAATGTGGAAAGAATACAGACTTTTCCTGCACTACAAAAAAGAAGAGCACTTCAGTATTTTTCAGCAAACATCTTGTTCAAAATTAACAATATGCAGATGTAAAATAGAGCAACCAGGGCCATGTCTACATGGGCCAAATACCACATCCTCCTCCCCCCCATTCTTATGGTGGGTAGTTCAGACAGGGTGACCAGATGTCCTCCTTTTCCAGGCTATGTTCTACATTTCAGCCTTCTATCCAGGAAGAATTCCAAAATGTCCTCAACTTTGAGCATGACTAAGAAGCATTAATTTATATTTATGTTAGTGTTTTTAGCTTTTATTTTGTAATGTCCTACATATGAATTTTACACTGCCATGTCCCCTTTTGTGGTTATGACATCTGGCCACCCTGAGTCTGGATGACACAGGGCCCAGTCCCTGGTTCTGGTGTGAACTGTCCAGACAACATCCAATTAGCTCCGCACTGAACCCACAGTATACCCCCCTTACTCCGATTAAAAAAAATCTCCTTGGTGGTATCTGCATGGGTAAGAATACTCTGGGAGCAGGCCAGAGTACTCTGAGTCCAGAGCTGCCCTGACAACCATCTATTACCTGGCGCTCTGGAGCAATGGTGGATGTCACTTGCATGGTGGGTTCACACACATGGGTGGTACAACAGGACTTCCCATTCTGACCTCAGAAGGAGCAGCTCATGGTAGTGCTGGCAGGCAGCACAGTAGGTGTACATAGGAACAGCTGCCCACCATCACTGTGGAGTGCCAGGTAAGGAGGGGATGTTGGGACAGTTTTGGGGCCAAAATACCCCAGGCTTCTCCCAGGATATTCTGGCCCTTGCAGACACCACCCAAGTCAGGTATGCCTTTTGTAAGAAAACAAAAACATATGAACCTTCTGGAAACCACGTGAAAGCATCTTCCAAAATCCATCCAAGGATGACTTCTGTCACCATCCTCCACAAATTTCATTATTTCCATCTTTGGTGGACACACTTATATGTCAAGGCCTTTTTGACATTCTGGGGGTGGGTGGTGAGGCAGTTTTATCTACTGGAACAGGTTTTTGATTTTGTTTTTGGTTTTTTGTGTGTGTTTTTGTTTTTGTTTTTTGCTTTCCACACATGCTTTGTAAAAGATTCTGGAGGCTGGTGCTGTTTCCTTGACTGTTGTAAGTAGGCACATGCAGCTACAATAGGACTGGCTGTTGTTTATTGCATTGTTTATTGCAGATTTGTTGCTGCAACTCAACACTGAAAGCCTGTGTTTCTCCAGCCCTCTTTCACCATTTTCCCAATGCTGATGCTGCTAAAAAAAAAAAACACACACATCCTGCCAGACAGAGCATGAAGAGAAAGGGCAGGGATGAATATTGAAAGCCTTTGTAAATGGGGGCTTCAACATCAGAGGCTTTGTTAACTCATGTATTATTAATCATTATTAATCATTATCATTATTTTATTCATTTATATCCAATTTTTCTCTTAATAATGATTCTCAAGGCAAGTAACAACATATTTAAAAATGATACAGATCAAAAACTATACAAACTTCAATTTTCCTAGCAACTACAATTTTCCAATTATTATAATCTTGCTGAGTGCCTTCAAATTGTTTCCAAGCAATGGCAACCCTAAAGTGAACCTATCATGGGGTTTTCTGAGGGCTGAGTACAACTTATCCAAGGTCACTCTGTGAGTTTTCATGGCTGAGCAAGGATTCGAACCCTGGTCTCCAGAGTCATAGTCCAACACAGAAACCACTATGCCATGCTGGTTCTACCTTTGTTTATATGCAAACTATTTGAGGGTTGCTCAGTCCTGAATGGGCAAGAAAGGCACAATAGCTTTACAAAAGACTGATAGAGATTAAACTCAATAGAAGTAAATTGGTATTTGTTGGCATGGGTCAAGACAGCCACCTGCTCTTATCATTGTCCTTGGGTCATCATGGCTATACAAGCTGAGTGTAGTGGTCAATGCCAGCTGTTCAAAATTTAATAGCACACCACTGGGATTATCCAAGAGTAAACTTCCCTTTATGTAACTGGGAAGGGAGTTGTATAAGATGTAGTGGCTTGCTTTGCTGTTCTGTAGCAAAGGTTCTTTGGGAGTGATTGTTGTTGTTGTCTGCTTTCAAGTCATTTCCAACTAAGGTAAATCTATCATGTGGTTTTCTTGATAAGATTTGTTCAGAGGAGGTTTGTCACTGCCTTCCCCTGAGGCTGAGAGCATGTGATTTACACAAGGTCACCCATTGGGTTTCATGGTCGAATCGAACCCTGGTTTCCAGAGTCATGTAAGAATTCTTAATTAGGCAGGAAAGTAGGACATCTGGCTTCCATCTAATTTGCAACCCTTCATCCTTTATGACTAAATGCCCAAGTCCTCAATAGTTCTTATGCATGCTATTTTAATCCAGCAAGGTATATAAAAGTTATATTACTCATAGAAATGCTATCTTCTGAACAATGGTATCCTTGATATAGAATGACAGGTGCAGTTACAATAAAGGATTTGTGCAGGAAACAAATATGCACAGGTTGATTGCGTTAGATTTAAGTGGGATCCAAAGTCTGAAACACTTTGTTCAGCAGAGTGAAGGATAATTGTTAAAACTCTTAGCTCTTCACTGAAAGAACTGAAAATACATTATGCAGAATACTTGAAATGCTATCTCATTGCTGAGATTAAAAGATCATTCTGGGCTCATGAGGCTGGTAGCTTGTACACCTTTATACCATACCATTTAATGTCATTTCACTGTCCAAATGCCCACCTGACTTTAAAACAAGCAAATCTTGAATAGAAAGATTTGCAGTCCATTTGTGACATGGAGTGTGACATTAGATGTGATTGTGTCCAACCCCTTCTGATCCCTCCCCAGATTTTTTTATCAAGATGTGGTGCCATTCTCACATGGTCCCTTTCTGCTTCTCCCCTAGCACTTCCATACCCTTTTAAAAACATTAGCGGTTTAAAGATTTTAACCTGTAAATGTGCTATTTCAGTAAATGTTTCCTGGAGCAAGATTGCCCCCTGTATACTCTCCTTAGCCAGTCTCACCCAGTGCTTCTGTTCATGCAGGGAATGTGGGAAGGGTTCTGAGGTGGCCCTTATTATAAGAGGTGTCCTTTCTCTGAGGACATTATCACACAAACCTTGTTCTCACTGCAATTGTGCTAATTAATGAAAACGCAAACATACCCATTTGCAAGCAGCCATTATTGCATGTCTTCACTATCATGCAACTGGGGCTGCTGCTGCTGTCACACTCTCCTCAGGACTCCTGCTCAATCCTGCATCCCTGTCCAATGCCCTATCCAGCAAGCACTTAATTTTAATTTAATTTAATTTAATTTAATACTTTTTAATATGCAGTTCTGCAGTTCTGGTAATGCAATTCAAGTTTTTTAAAAATAATATTTTTTAAAAAAAGTGATTCAGGCTGGTTGGAAATAGTCTGGGGGGGTGAGACAGGAGGAAAGGAGGCGACTGTGACACCACGTGACTACCAATAATACAAGTACTGCAGCAGCAGCATTTTGCACAGGAGGAGTACTGGGACTGCCCTGTGATTGGGAGCTATTTATGGGTTTCCCCTGTCAATGAAAAGGATGCACTAACCACACTTGCCATACTCAGGAGCTACGGATGAGAAGGGATGTTGTGCAAATTTTATTACTATAATTGCAGTTTAAAAGTCATATGTGACATAAAGCATGCCCCTTAAAGGACAGGCAGATTCCTTTATTATAAAGAATATCCCCCGTTTGAGGACTGGAAAGTGTTTATTTTCATATAGACTGAACAAAATGCTAAATAATCCTGTAATTTGGAATATGGGCCTTTCATAAAGACAAAAATGTGGGCATTACTATCAGACTTGAGCAAATTCAGAAACTTTGTGTACCAATAAGTCCAATGAGTTGAACCAACAAAAAAGTTTATTGAGAACACAAAGTCAGAAAATCACCAGTCAGCGTTGAAGCCAGAACTGCCCCCTCCAAGCCAAACAATATCTTAAAAACTCCAAACCTATAAACTCCTCCCAACACCCTTGGCACCAAAACTAGCACCCACCTCCAATTCCCATAGCCTTTTCCCCATCAAGCCAGTCCCCCTTTTCCAAAGCTTCTCACCAGTGCTATCTCTCTTCAGCACAGACATTCAACCCAACACCCCTCCTTTCTGTTACATCCAGACACCAACTTTCCGCATCCCACAGCTTACACATTCCAATGCCCAACTTTCTCAAAACTATCCTAGCCTGCTACAATTATTCCCAACCCCCATACTAGCTAACCTATTTGGTATGACTACTAGCTTATCCACAATCCCCTTCCATCTACAACCTATATAATAATTATAACATTCAAATCAATAACACAGGCATGGTTCTGACAATTATGTAATTTATGAATGTGGACACTATGTTAATTCCACAGAAAAATGTATGGCTAAGTTAATCAAAATCAATACTTTTGATTTGGTATTTAAGGAAAACATAAAGTTGTCAACAACTGCCTCATAACTGTCAGCTCTGCATATTGTAAATTTCAATTGTCCCTTATCGCTATTTTGAAAAGATGGCAGCACTCTATGTAAGTGGGTGATCTTGCTCCAAGAAATCATATATAGCAATAGCATCATTAAAGGTTACAATTTAAGCACAAAGCTCTGAAGAAAATAAAAATTAAGAACATGAAATATAAGTAGGTACTGAGAGAAAAACAGAAGAGTACCGTATCAGGATTGCAAAGTAGAAATACATCTGGAGACAAAATGGAGAAATAGAGGAGAAGGCTAGACAAGAGTTGCTGGGTTTTCTAAACAGTAATACAAGACAGTCCACATAGTTATCAAACAGCTCAAGATTGTCTGGAGGTGCAACTATGTTGTATCAATATTGCAGTTTGACACCACTTTAACTGCCACGATGCCACCCTACATAATCTTGAGATTTGTAAATTTGTGAGGCACCAGCACTCTTGGACAGAGAAAGCTAAAGACTTTGTAAAACCACAAATCCCATGATTCTACAGGATGGAGCTACAGCAGCACTTAAAGTGGTGCCAAACTGCATTATTTCAACAGTGTAGATGTCCTTGGGACATGTGGAGCAGGTCTACATAAAGCTAGCCTCACAAGAGGAGGACATCTCATGAGAGTTCTGGGCTCGTGAGATTTCAGATTCGCGATCTCACAGGTGCCTCGAACTCTTGTGAGAAGCCAACTCCTTGCAAGAAGAGCTTTACGTAGTCCCGCTTGATAGACCATCTGCCTCAAATTAATGCTGCAGGCATTAATGCTGGAGCTTATCGCACCACTATAATAAAACTTCTTACCTCTCCCAACTTCAATTCTAATTTGGGCAGCATCCAGATACTATCACAGAGATTTTGCCACTGAATCTACCACCCAGGTCCAGCCCAGGTTGAGCCCAGGTCCCGGGGCGCTCAGTGTGCCTCTTTTCAAAGCCGGGAGTTTTCTATGAAAATGGCCACCAGAATGCTCCTGGGACTTGTGCTAGACACGGGCTGGACTCTCCTGGATTAAGGTTGAATTTGGGAGAGGTATGTTTAGCAGTGTGATAAGCTCCTATGTTTGTTGTGAGTTGAGCTGGCATCTGCTCTTCCTCAGCTCAGCTCTCCAGGCTCTCCATTTGCAACAGCTGCTCCATCTCATAGGAATGGCTGTAGACAACTACACTCTTCCCACACCACAGAACAACTTTAAAGGTCCATCATCCTTTCCCGGACCACAGGTCTAAAAAAGAACATGTAAACTGGGTTGTGGGTAGATTTAACACCCACTGCCCATTGAGCAGAGAAGGCACTGCCCCCAAATAAAACAATATGAAACAAAACAGTGTACATTTAGATTTGGAATTCAAAATATATTGAAACGTACCAGAAAAGTGCTGCGTTCTACTAAGGAGTAATAGCTTATAGCACATGACAAGAAATACACCAAGGTTGTTTGGATTGCACAAATAAAAACAATATAACTATGAAAACTACCACATCCCACATTTAGCTATTCTGGATGAGCCCTGTATCCATCTGAACAATAGACAACAGAAGTAGTAGCAGCAGCAGTAGCCATAGCTGTGGTTATTGGTGAGTTCCAAGGAAACTCTTTTCTACCTATGATGTGTATACATTCCAGAATCAGCTCTGACAAATAGGTTTTTGTAGGCTTTTGTGTTTAATCCTTTCACAAATCTACAAAAACTGCTTGACCGGAGATGATCCCTGGATTCAAAAGATGTGTCTTTGTGTATACAAAACCTGTTTCATATTGCAACAAAAATGTTTTTGTTTGTTTCCAGTGTTAATTATAACAGAAATAATAACAACACATGATGCTTCTAGATGAACTTTTATTGTGAGATTACCTTGCCATGTTCACAGATTTTTACAGTGCCCCCAGACAGGAACACTTTCCATTTGCATACTCCCTGTTTTTCCACCACTTCCTTCACTTTTTTTTCCTTATAAAAATTATCCCTTAAGGAGGAAAAAATCAAATAATTGCACAACATGCTTTGGTAGCACAAGGAGAATCCCATTTGGAAACATCCATACTATGCTTCTCCCCACCCCTGCCTTTAAAAGTTATTAATACAGCTGGTTGTTATATTACTGATAAGATTTTGTATCCTCCTGACTCTTAACTGAGGGCTTACTAGAAGAATATGAGTTCCTCTGGTACTGTATGTATCATGGCTTTATATATGAATAATATAGGCATTGTTGTTGCATGCCTTTAAGTT